TTTTTTGCTTTTTCTTTCTATTTTTCATTCTTGATTTCTTTAATTATTCCTTCATACATCAGTTTGAGTAAGTTTTTTGTTTTTTTTCTTTCTTTTCTTTCTCCCATTATTCCAAATTTCCATCTTCTTAGCTTGTTTTCTCCAATTAATTTAACTCCTTCTTGTTTTATTGTTTGTTTCTTTTTATCTGCTATTGTTTGTTTCTTTCATTTTGCTTTTTTCTTTCTTTGTTGCATTATTATTTTAACTTTCTTTTCACTTTCTTGCAGAGTTTGAACACATTTCTTTTTCTTTTAATTTTCTTTCTTGCAATATTTTAACTCTTTTTTTTTCTTTCTTTCTTTTAATTTTCTTTCTTGCAGTATTTTAACTCTTTCTTTTTTCTTTCTAACTTTCTTTCTTTTAACTTTCTTTCTTGCAGTATTTTAATTATTTCTTTTTCTTTCTTTCTTTCTTTCTTTTTTTCTTTCTTTCATTCTTTCTTTTAACCTTCTTTTTCTTGCAGTATTTTAACTTTCTTTATTTTATTTTTTCTTTCTTCCATTATTTTAAGCCTTTTCTTTCTTTTTTTCTGCATTGCTCAAACGCTGTTTTTTCCTTCTTTCTCCTTTTTATCCTTCTTTCTTCTTTTTTCTTTTTCTTCTTCCTTCCTTTCCATGTCTGCACTTGATTTTCTTATGCATGTCAGCGTTTCTCCAATAGAATTGTTATTATCCAATCGGTATCGAGATAATTTTTAGAATGTGCATTTATTTTTAAAATAAACATGCCATGTTAATTGCAGCAATTTGTATGTTTTGATGAGAAATATTTACTAATAACTTATTCTCTAATATTACGACCAGGAGACATTACTACAAAATGTAATTTTACTTACAATAATGTTCACCCTATACAAGATCCAAGATCTATACTCGACGTAATGGATTATAGAGTAAGAGGTTAGAGGCACAGTTTATGAAGGTATGTGGGGTAGATTACGGTTAACCCTAGAACTTGAATAGGTCAATACTGTAGTGATCGGGGAAGCATCCTCTTGGGAGTCGGTTCCATAACGAACGTATCTCACCAATGAAGTACAAAGGGAACGAGTGGGGACGGGCTACAATGGGCGTTGCATGACGGATCTTATCTCTTAAGGTTATAACAGGTGGAACTAAGGAATGTAGTTCGTCTGAGCACTTACCGTGGAAATAGCGATAGAACAATGAGAGATTTGTGACGTTTCATCTGTGAGAAAGAGGTTGTATGGTGGAAAATAATTTGTCACCTACCTGGACGCGGAACCGACCATTTTTCCGGCATCTTTAGCGATGGATCGTATTTACCTGCTTCACCTGAGTTTGAGTTTATTATAATTTTTATTGTCTTTGATTTCTGGTGTATACTTATTTCTTTTCGAGGTTCCAACCAGAGACCTAAGGTAAAAGATGGCATCATGACATTTTCCACTGAGAAATTTTTGATGGAAAAAACAAAAACAAAAAGGAAAAACAAAAACACCTAAGATCACACACATTTTACATAGATAAAGCCCTTCGTAAGGTGTGGGCTGTAGTTGTGAGTAAAATTTTTGTATGTCCTTCTTCTTATTATTATTGGTGCATGCTATGTTTCCTGCTTTGTATCCTGTAGAGGCGGGTCCAAACTATAGTCCTTAGGCCCTATAGGAGAATTTTCATTTAAGAAGATAGCACTTTCTTTTGTATATGGGATGTTCCTATTAGAGCGATCTTCTGCGCAAATAGTATGTTGATGTTACATAGGACACTGTTAGTAGAATTGTCCCATTCCTTTTCTCACGAGGTCTAGAGCTTCGATTACTATTGGTACAGTCCCAGCTTTCATTCCTCACAGATAGAGTGCTGAGAGTCTTACGACGTTTCGTCTGTGGGGAAACGGGTTGCAGGGTGGAAAATAATTCATCACCCCCACAAGGCCTTGTAGACGCTTGTGGAGAGTGGAGAGCTCCGGTCCCTATTTGGCAGAATTACTCCATTTTCAGCCTGATCTGACTCTTGTAAAGCTAAAGAATAGCAAGAGGTGTCCATACCCTTTAGCGATCGCTCGTATGTAAGTGTTACACGTCGTTTGGCGTGAGTTAAGCCCTAATAAGTGTTCCAGGCATCCCTATGAAAACATAAAAATACATGGTCCGCTCTGTGATGATGGAAATCAATTGATGGCAACAGCCGTAAAAACAAAAATCTGCCGCGAGTTTTGATTCAACTTTTGACAGTTTTACCAACATCAGTTGTTTAATACCAATTCTGTTGTGAAAACATTGAGTTGCACAATGAAATCTGTCAATGTGTCTATCATTTGTAAGGACGCATATCACAAATGGCCTTGCGGTGTGCCTGGAAGCTTCATTAGTGATATTTGTTCCTTAAAACTTTGGAGGTTTCGAGGCAATATAAATATTAGACATCCTTTCTCAAAGATGGTGACTTCCTGGTCAACTTCCGGGCAGTATTCATTTGAATCTGACATAAGAAGATGGAGATAGATATAAACAGTCTTATCTATCTATCTATCTATCTATCTATCTATCTATCTATCTATCTATCTATCTGTGTGTGTGTGTGTGTGTGTGTGTGTGTGTGTGTGTGTGTGTGTGTGTGTGTGCAGTATTTTTCATTGATACATGTTTCATTAAATAATATAGACAAGTGTTGTCTATTTATTTTATGTAAATTCTTTTCATATCGTCTGATAAGCTTAATAACATTATCATTAAACAAAGAAAGAAATTACATTACAATATAGTGAGCAATATACGGACAAAAATGTGATGATAGTCTGTTTCGGTTTACAGGGAAGATTTCCAAGCAACGACAAAATTGTCATAGATAGATAGATAGATAGATAGATGGATTCTAGGCGATTGAAAATGGAGTACAGATCTATGGATAGAAGTAAAGAGAAAGGAATAAAGAGAGATATAGTGATCAGGAAGTGCGGTAAGCGGAGATTGAAGAAAGAAAGAAAGAAAGAAAGAAAGAAAGAAAGAAAGAAAGAAAAGAAATAAAACTTAAACACTGAATATATAGGGAGTGAAACGGCTTGATGTATATATATGAACAAACCAAGTGAAACGGACAAATTGAGAGATAGATAGATAGATAGATAGATAGATAGATATGAACAGGCTTAGATTTATACATACATAGATATGAACAGAACGAAATAGATATGGACAGACTCAGATAGATAGATAGATAGATAGATAGATAGATAGATAGATACATATGACCATAAATTTATACATACATAGAAATGAACAGAATGAAATAGATATGAACAGACCCAGATAGATAGATAGATAGATAGATAGATAGATAGATAGATAGATAGATAGATATGAGCAGGCTGAAATAGAGTGAGATAGATATGAACAGAAAGAGATAGATAGATAGATAGATAGATAGATAGATAGATAGATAGATAGATATGAAGAGACTGAGATAGATAGATAGATAGATAGATAGATAGATAGATAGATAGATAGATAGATAGATAATGAAGAGACTGAGATAGATAGATAGATAGATAGATAGATAGATAGATAGATAGATAGATAGATAGATAGATAATGAAGAGACTGAGATAGATAGATAGATAGATAGATAGATAGATAGATAGATAGATAGATAGATAGATCTGAAAATACTACGGCTTGAGTTATCCGAATCATTGTCCGAAATGGATCAACGGAAACCTTATAGAAACGTAAACAACACAAAAAAATGAGTTCAGGTATCCGAACAAGTTTTGGAATCGTTTTGTTTTTATTCTCTCTAAATAATTCTTTGACTTTTGATTTTTACCGATTATCAATTTTGTAGCTCTTTGCCCTGCCAATTAAAAACAATTATAGCAAACTGCTTCAATCAATTCAACGCCGTCAGAAAATGACATTTGCATGCTGCATTCTATTTCGGCATTTTACATGCATGCTGCACTAAGGAATTGTGCCGTCGAAAAGAATTATATTTTATTAAATTGTTCCCTATCTGTCTATATTTCGGAGATGAGGTATTGTAATTATTTACATTGTTCGAACCATTGTTCTCATCTTTCTTGCCATATTCGCGACGTTTTGGTTGTTGTACTCTCCGGCTTTCTTCAGGTGATTGGAGTTTCGAACGAGTAGATTGTTCTAGTTCCACGTGCCATGCTTCTTCTGGTTGTCTCCGTTATCTCCTTTTAAATCAGCTCTCCAAGTTTTTGTTCACCACTGCCGTAGCCAGGTATTGAACTCATATCTCTTTGGGTTAAGTCACTGGATCCAACCAACGCTTTTATCCATGGGCTCAGTTCGAAATTCCAGTCACCCGAAGATCGTCGTGAATATGTCAATAAAGAGGAAAACAACAGTCCAAGCAATGTAAACAATGTAAATTGTTCCCGTAAAGTATTGAGTTTTAACCGACTTGTTGTGCTGTGTGAGGATCGTAGGTGTGCTGGGAAAATATTTAGAGGTCATTATTTTTTTTTAAATCGGTTTCACCCAAAGCAAGACGGTAAAGCCACTAAGACATAAGAGGTTACAGGGTGGTGAAGAATTAGGAACAGAAATATTAATAATGAATGGGAAGAGGAAAGAGTAATCAGGAGGACAGTAAATAGCGACTGACTTTGCATTTAAATTTTTGCAAATCAAAGTTGGTTGGAAAGCATGGAGCCGGAAAGGAGTTCCACAATTAAGAAGTGCGAGAAAAGAAACTATTAGCATAGAACTTACGGCTAAAACTAGATGTCGACGCCAGTCGAGTACTGCGCTTAAATTTTAAAAGTTTTGGTACCATAGCGAACAGCTCATCAGAACAATTACCATGAAAGTATTTAATAAAAAGACACATGGAGGCAACCTTACAGCGGTGAGAAAGTGAATGAAACCGAACCTCCAGATCAGGACCAATGATTCTTCTTTGGATTTTATCAAGGAGCTCAAAGTAAATAACAGAAAGAAGTAATCACGTTTGCAATTCGGTTGGATGAATCTATTCTTACCAGTGGTAAAAAAGAAATCATAGAACAGTTTTTATTTTGTCGTCCATTACAAACAGCAACAAAGGGCCAATATATTTTTGATTTGATCGCTAATTACACCAATTGTAATAACATGTGTTGGGATTCCTGCATAAGTGTGGAGCTCTGTCTATGCCCCGAAGTGTAAAAGATCTAAAAATGAGGTCAACCTCAGATGTCTCATTAAATTTCAAATTATAATAAACAGAAAAATAAATAAATATGAGCTTTTTTATGAATTTTATCATTTTCATTACAAATCAAATAAATTGTTTTGTCTGTGTTAATAAATAAATCATAAAATCTATTTTCTTTTTATACCTTTTTTTTCTGATTATTATAATTTAAATATGCCGCGGAAGTTTAACTATAGTTTCAAATTATCCGCGGTAGTCCAACTATAGATTCAAGTGTGTTGTGAAAGATTTACTCTGCGTTCGAGTGTAACACGAATATTTAACTCTAGGTTCAAATGTACCGCGGAAGTTTGACTGTAGATTCTTGTTTTCCGTGGTAGTTTAACTATAGGAAGAAGTGTACCCCGGAAGTTTAACTATAGGTTCAAGTGTACCCCGGAAGTTTAACTCTAGGTCCAAGTGTACCCCGGAAGTTTGACTGTAGATTCTTGTTTTCCGTGGTAGTTTAACTATAGGAAGAAGTGTACCCCGGAAGTTTAACTCTAGGTCCAAGTGTACCCCGGAAGTTTGACTGTAGATTCTTGTTTTCCGTGGTAGTTTAACTATAGGAAGAAGTGTACCCCGGAAGTTTAACTCTAGGTTCAAGTGTACCCCGGAAGTTTAACTATAGGTTCAAGTGTACCCCGGAAGTTTAACTATAGGTTCAAGTGTGCCACGGAATTTTAACTATAGGTTCAATTTTGCCTCGGAAATTTAACTATAGGCTTAAATTTTCCAATTATAATTTCAAGTGTGTCGTGAAAATTTCACTATATCAGTGTGACAAGGATATTTAACTATAGGTTCAAGTCTTTCACGGAAGTTTATCTGTAGTTCCTTGTTTTCCGCTGTAGTTTAATTATGGGCCGCCCAAGTTTAACTATAGGTTCAAGTGCCTCATGAGATAAAAGACGTCTGAAAAACATTGCCATATAACGATTGAAATCAGAAGTTATTTATCTTTAAGATTAATTTTTCATTTCACTTCATGTAAGGCGATAATAATCAGTTACTAGGAGTGAAAGAGAATGAGAAAACTGAGAAAGGGCCATCAAAGAACAGAATTCAGAAAGACAGAAGCGTATGATTGGCGTTGAATTTACATTTTTAAAGATTTTAGGTGGAAGCGAAGCAAGAATTACATATTAGAATTACGGTTACATCTAGCTAGTTCAACTGTAAAATGGTGAGATCTAGGTTCCATCTAGTAAATAATCTTAGTATCTGTCTATATTTCTGAGATGAGGTATTATGAACACTATTTAGATTATTCGGACTATTGTCCTCATATTTGTTGCCACAACGTTTCGGCCGTTGTACGCTCCGGTCTTCTTCAGGTGGTTGGAATGTCGAACTGAATCCTTTATTTCGCTCACTGTAGACTGTTCTAGTTCCACGTGTCATGTCTAAAGGATATCAGTTATCTCCTGTTAATTCATCTCTCCAAGTTCTCCACTGCCTTACCCAGGTATTGAACCCAGAACTCTTTGGATCCTGTCACTGGATCTAACCAACGCCTTTATCCATTCTGCCATGTGTCCTTAAGGACACCTGTGTTTGAATTTCTAGGACTTCAGCAACCGTTTTTTACCAGTGCTCATATTGCAATTTTTGCTGTTTTCATACACAAACACCTTCGTTTAGACTCATCCAACTTTTTCCGAATCCTACGTACTATCCTCAGATTGACACAAAAATATCCTGAAATGTTTGTATTGGAGCTTCCGGCATGAATGCCGAGCAGTATAGCCTGTCGTTTTCAAATTTCAGGCGGAGTGAATAGCGTCATGATGGTCTTTTTCTCACAGACGGTGCCCAACTGACCCAACTATACTGGGCATTCGACGATATCAAAAACAAGCAACGCGCGAAGATTAAAAATATAAAATAGCGACAAGTTACCCATCGCACTCTGTAGGTTTATATATATATATATATATATATATATATATATATATATGCTAGTAATAATCTTATAAATATAAGAAATTACACTCGTTCGGAAAACCTTCAGTTTTTTGATTTGAAAATAATCAAACCAATACCAAAGGGGAAAAAATGGTACAAAAAAAGAAAGAACCAAGAACATGTACATTAGCCGAAAATAATCGCCTAGCATCCAAGTCCAGAGTCCAAAGAAAAAAAAGCCCGATACGAGTAAGCAAAATAACTAAATAAAGTGATCAATACGATAAGTAGAGCAAACTTAAATTAAACCTAAAGAGCCAGACAAACCTACCACGGTTTCACCTAAGCGAGTCGCCAGAGAACTCTGAGGCAGAGCTCCCCGACGATCCGCTTTGAATATCAGTCGGATGCATTACATTCACTTACGTGCTTGGGAAAGGTATGAATCCTATTCTTCTACCCCCAGCTATGGGTAAATAGAACAGACCGGGTTCTATAGCCTTGGATGGCAACTAGTCTACAAAAAAAGAAAGAAATGGCAACCTACTGCGGAAAAAAAATCTGTCTCGTCAGTCATGTATCGAAAGATACATAATCACCTAAGCATAACTGACTGACGGATTCACCTCATGACGATATAAGTTGACTACTTTTGGGGAAAAGAAATATTCTTAATCATTGGTCACATCAGCGTAGGATAATCTTTTACAAGCTTGTCTCCCGAGGTCAATTATGTTTGATTAGCGCGTGTAATACTCAAGCGCTTGGAAGGCTAAATCGGAGAGTCGAGTTCGAAATCCAGTCGGGTTTGTTACCTTCACTTACGCGCAAATACCCTTGGGAAAGGTCTAAATCCATCTCTTATTGGTAAATAGCAGAACAGACTTGGTCCGATAACCTTGGTTTACATTCAGCATACCGCAGAAAGAAAAGTCAACTAACTGCTTGACTATCGTCTGCCTAGTCAGTCATGACTCAAAAGAAACATGACTGCCCAAGGGTGTATCACGTATGGCACTTAACTGAGTTCAACACACGATAAATGCTCAATATTTGTGACCTTGTGTCACATTTAAGCTACGCTTAGGAAATCGCTAAAATGTTGGTCATACGCAGTGTTCCAAGATGAAATTGCAATTTTCATTTGTTCGAATATTATCGATATATACTGACCTAGTTTTTACGTTCTCCAAAACATAGACGGAGTAATACACTCCTTAATATTTGCATCAAATATCTCAGTCAGTTCTTGTCTATCACATTTTCTTCATATCTATCTATCTATCTATCTATCTATCTATCTATCTATCTATCTATCTATGTGTCTGCCTTCTATCTATCTATCTATCTATCTATCTATCTATCTATCTATCTATCTATCTGTCTGCCTTCTGTCTATCTATCTATCTATCTATTTATATCTATCTATCTCAGTTTGTTCATATCTCTCTCTCTCTCTCTCTCTATATATATATATATATATATATATATATATGTTCATATGTATCTATCTCTTTTTCTTTCTTTTCTTTCTTTTCTTCATTCTCTTCTCAGTTTTATTTGCTATCACATTCTATTTCCAACCAACTCTTTTCTCCTTAACTCCTCTTATTTGATTTCCTCGTCCAGCGCTTACCTTTTTTTTTCTGTCTTTCAATTGATCGTTCTGACTACAAACCTGCCGCCTCTATCTGAGAGACTAACCAGCCTGCAGTCCAGGCAGAGTGTTTTCTTGTTTTTACCGCTCTCTGCTCTCCATCGATTCCAATTAAGGAATGGCGACTAAAGCCTTTACCAGGAATTGTCTTCTCTTCCCCCAGACATACATACTTGCCCCCGGGAGCTGAACGTTTGTCTACTAGAGAAAGATGCTTTCTCAGATTTGCCATCTTCCCAACGAATTTTGGTTTTTATCTATTTTCTCTATTTTCTGTTGTTTTCCCAGTTTAATATTATAACTGTTTTTTTAACTGCTGTTTTTTTTTCTTTTCCATTTTATTCTTTCTTTTTATTTCTTCTTCTTCTTCTTCTTCTTCTTCTTCTTCTTCTTCTTCTTCTTCTCGTTCTTTTTCTTTCCATTCTATTCTTTCTTTTTATTTCTTCTTCTTCTTCTTCTTCTTCTTCTTCTTCTTCTCGTTCTTTTTCTTTCCATTCTATTCTTTCTTTTATTTCTTCTTCTTCTTTCTTCTTCTTCTTCTTCTTCTTCTTCTTCTTTTTTTCTTCCATTCTATTCTTTCTTTTTATTTCTTCTTCTTCTTCTTCTTCTTCTTCTTCTCGTTCTTTTTCTTTCCATTCTATTCTTTCTTTTTTTTCTTCTTCTTCTTCGTCTTCTTCTTCTTCTTCTTCTCGTTCTTTTTATTTCCATTTTTTTCTTTTTATTTCTTCTTCTTCTGTTTTTTTTCTTTCCATTTTATTCTTTCTTTTTATTCCTTCTTCTTCTCGTTCTTTTTCTTTCCATTTTTTCTTTCTTTTTATTTCTTCTTCGTCCTTTTTCATTCTTTTTTCCATTTTATGCTTTCTTTGTATTTCTTCTTTTCGTTCTTTTTCTTTCCATTTTATTATTTCTTTCTTTCTTTCTTTCTTTCTTTCTTCTCTCTGCTGATATTCTATCATTTCTTTCCTTTTCTAAGTCCATTTTGTCTTATATTTATCCTTTGCTGTTTCATTCGAAGTTTTTCTCTCCTTTCTTTCTATTTACTTTGTCCCTTTGTTATTTATTTTTCCATCATTCCTCCCTATTTCTCCTTCGTCTTTTCAAAGTTTTCCTTTTTTTATTTACTCCGTTTTATTTCCATTTCTCTTTCTGTTTGATATTTTTTTTTACTTTCGTTCTTCACGCCATTCTTTCTTTCTTTCTTTCTTTCTTTCTTTCTTTCTTTCTTTCCTGTTTTGTGTGCCTGTTTGATTCTTTCTTTCTTTCTTTCTTTCTTTCTTTCTTTCCTGTTTTGTGTGCCTGTTTGATTCTTTCCTGTTTTGTGTGCCTGTTTGATTCTTTCTTTCTTTCTTTCTTTCTTTCTTGTTTTGTGTGCCTGTTTGATTCTTTCTTTCTTTCTTTCTTTCTTTCTTTCTTGTTTTGTGTGCCTGTTTGATTCTTTCTTTCTTTCTTTCTTTTCTTTCTTTTTTCCTGTTTTGTGTGCCTGTTTGATTCTTTCCTGTTTTGTGTGCCTGTTTGATTCTTTCCTGTTTTGTGTGCCTGTTTGATTCTTTCTTTCTTTCTTTCTTTCTTTCTTTCTTTCTTGTTTTGTGTGCCTGTTTGATTCTTTCTTTCTTTCTTTCTTTCTTTCTTTCTTGTTTTGTGTGCCTGTTTGATTCTTTCTTTCTTTCTTTCTTTCTTTCTTTCTTTCCTGTTTTGTGTGCCTGTTTGATTCTTTCCTGTTTTGTGTGCCTGTTTGATTCTTTCTTTCTTTCTTTCTTTCTTTCTTTCTTTCTTTCTTTCTTTCTTTCTTTCCTGTTTTGTGTGCCTGTTTGATTCTTTCTTTCTTTCTTTCTTTCTTTCTTTCTTTCTTGTTTTGTGTGCCTGTTTGATTCTTTCTTTCTTTCTTTCTTTCTTTCTTTCTTTCTTTCTTGTTTTGTGTGCCTGTTTGATTCTTTCTTTCTTTCTTTCTTTCTTTCTTTCTTTCTTTCTTTCTTTCCTGTTTTGTGTGCCTGTTTGATTCTTTCCTGTTTTGTGTGCCTGTTTGATTCTTTCTTTCTTTCTTTCTTTCTTTCTTTCTTTCTTTCTTGTTTTGTGTGCCTGTTTGATTCTTTCTTTCTTTCTTCCTGCTTCGCTTGTTTCTTTCTTTCTTCTTTCTTCATGTTTTGTTTGTTTCCTTGTGTATCTAAACAGTATTTATCGTGTATAGGCTATTTATTAATATTCCTTCCAGATATTTTCTTCGTAGTCTTGTAATCTAAAAATATTTTCTGGCTTTAAATAACCTGAAATGTGTTGATAATCTGTTGAAAGCGAATCAACCAATCAATCAAAATATTCCTTACGATCTTGATGATTTCTTTCTTTCTTTCTTTCTTTCTTTTTTTCGTTATGCTTTGTTTATTTTTCCTGATTTCACCTCTTTGTATCTTTCGTTCTTTCTTTCTTCCTTTGTTTTTTTTTTCATCTTTTGTTTTCCCCTTTCTTTCTTTTCATGCCTTTCTGTCTTTCTTTCTTTCTTCCTTTTTTTCTATTCCCTCTAGCCTTATGATTTCTACTACTTGCAATTTTTTCTTCCTGTGATTTTATTTTAATACGTAAGCCTGATGTGAAATGCGCACTTACTTCAGTCACGGACACTTTTTATAAAGGTTAAATTAGTCTCGCACTTTTTTGGGCCACCCAATAATGTTTGAACTTTCTACCAGACGATCCAGCTAATGATCAAGCGAACAGTTGTCGTTGCCTCTCTTTTATATATATATATATATATATATATATATATATTAGAGACAGAAATATAGGGTGCGATGATTTTGTCGACTATACTGTAAGAAAAAGAGCATCATGACGCAAATCATTCCGTCAGAAATTTGGAAATGGTCTACTTGGCATTCGCATCGGAGGCTCCACTACAAACATTTCAGAGTGTTTGGTTGTTTATATGAGGACATTGCAAAGAATTTGGAAAGTATTGGATGTCTAGTGGTGATTACGAAGGTGTTTGGAATGATCACTAGTGATGGAGACGTTATGCCTCCATTCATCTTCCCACAGGGTCTCAGACTCATCAGGAAGGCCTACATCAAGTGCCGTGAGGAGGTAGTGTTGCTCTGGCTCGAGAGGGTGTCTGTTGGAAGAGTCTATGTCTGGCAACAGGACTCTGCACCATGCCACACAAGAAGGAGAACTTTCAGACAATTTCTGCGTCCTCCTCACCCCTTATATCTGGTCACCTGACTCCCCAGACTGCAACACTTTTAATTATTGTGTGTGGGTCACATTTGAGCAAGACACCAACAAATCTTCTTGTAACACCAAAGATATATTAAAAGTAAGAATTATGGCAGCATGTACCAACTTAAACAAGGACACCGTCCAAAGGAGATTCCTAAGTTACCTGGAGGCCGTGGTGGAAGCCAATGGCGATTTTATTGAATAAATGGTCTCTTTAGCATTTCAAGATATTTTTAGTAAATATATCTGTTAAAGTGAGATGTTAGTCTTACTTTAATTTTTGCAAAATTCAGACAATTTATCCATCGCACCCTGTATGTATGAGTTCAAAATATTGATTTAAACGAAGAGAATGTTTGAATAAGGAACAATGTGGATAAACTTTATAAATTTAATGTTTCGTTATTTCATTAGCTTAATTTGAGAAGAGAAATAATTTCGAATTTTGTTTGCACTTAAATTTTTAAAGGTTTAAATTTAAAGGCTGCAATTGTTTTCATTGTTTCTGTAGATGCCACGTCTATATTTTATGGCATTTGTTTTGATATATGCTTCAATTTACAAGATATATTTTATTTTTGCTGGCTGTGCGGACGTCACATGTATATCTCATTGCATCTGTGTTTATGTTTAATATTTGAAAAGTTAGCGTAATTTAAGTGTTTATATGAAATTGAGTTTGTTAGTGCGCTTTGGAGGTCCGGTGGAGTAATGCAGAGCGGCTCGGATTAAGGAATCGGAGAGCCGAGTTCGAATTCCAGTCGAATCCATTACATTCATTTACGTGCTAATACCCTTGGGAAAGGTATGAATCCTCTTCTTCTCCCCCCCCCCTGCCAGTTATGGGTAAATAGCCGGACAGACCGGATTCTATAGCCTTGGATGATAACTGGTCTACCGCTGAAAGAAATAGCAACTTGCCGCGGGAAAAAAAATCCGCCTTGTTAGTCATGTAAAACAAAGATACATGACTGACAAAGCAGAAACACATGGCACATATCTGACTATGTTTTGTGTGTCAACGGGTATGCATGTATGTGTTATAGGCATATAGAACTATATATATAATTGTGATATAACGATATATAATTTTATATATCAACAAATAGTATTTAAAAAAATATGAGAAACTAGAAAATTTCTTGTGACGCGTTTCATTCCTTAGTATTTCATCGGGCTGGGCTTTATTGACGTGGCCACGTCTACGCATGCGCACGAAACGAGTGAAGCAGGTAGTTAACAAATTTTTTTGAAAGAATATTTTTTGTTTCAATCTAGCCAAATTCATCTGCATTCTTTTTCTTTTTCTTTTTCTTTTTCTCTCCATCACCTTTTACCCAGATTATCCAACACTGTGACAATATAAAATCTACCAAGAATGGTGATATATTGCAAGAGCCTGGTCGCAAATTTATCGTGGCTGAACTAGCGATCAAGGCACTTTACAGATATTTTCGTTACGGTGGATTATTTTCTTTTTTAATCAAAGTAGCGTTCCCTATGCGTTTTGCGCGTTGTTATTTAAAATGTCCCTTTTTTGTTCATATAGTCTCTTATCTAAATTTCTTTCTCCATTGTATTCATTCTGGCAATTCCTGCATTTCATATATAATTATATGTTCCTAAATATTTTTAAAAATATATACCTGAATAACCTACTTGAATTTTATGCGCCATGTTTTTCAGGACGAAAGCGTCATAAATAAATATAAATAATATTTGACACTTTGTCCTTTCATTTTGCTGTTCAGTCAATCAAACTCATTAAGTAGTTTACTCGCTGCTTTTCCCTTCTTTTTTCCTTGTGGGTATTAAATTCCCCGGCCGCTTTTCCTCATTATTTCTCTCACAAATTTCAGCTGTCGAATCGGAATAATAGTAAATAACAAGATGGAAATCTGATGCATTTCATCCAGAAAGGATATTTGCCGACAAATAGCAGGTTTGAAGCGATTTCTTCTGAACAAAACGCATCGCAATACGTTTTTCCATGTAATTATCTATTTTATTCTTTCTTTTATTCTTTCTTTCTTTTTTTTGTGATGGCAGACGCAGAGAGAAACCTGCAGGAACAGCTAGACAAAGTAATAAGGAAAATGACTTTTGATGTAGTTCACGCAATACATGGCTCGAGAGCTACTCAAAGTAGAGACTCATTAATTGAGATATGTAATATGATCGAAAGGGAAACTGATATGACGCATGGATTATGTGGTCGATAGGTAACGATTGATCCTTGTCTTGACAAGTGTACAAGAATGTATCGGTTCTGGAGTTGCAATTATACTTTCTCCTTACATTTGAAATAAGGAGGAGATGGGAGGAATTCAACTCACTGGAAGAAGCACGATGTGCCTGAGCTGTAAAAGGTCTGAACTGGTGGAATTAAGGAATGGGGATAATAGGAAAATTTGCCGTGGAAATAGCAATAGACTTCTGCCGTTGCTTCTGGTGCGAAAACGGTTGCAGAGTAGAGAAAATCTTTTCCTAACAAGACAGCGTAAATTATTTGGAACTTAATCTGGTAAAAGAGAATTGTGCAGCTCCAATCCAGGCATGTCAATAATACTCCATTTTTGGTCTAACCTGTAAGAAGTCAGATGTTATTGATCTGGCATCACTGTCTCAGTTTCTTTCCCACATTAGCTTCTTCTTTGTCTTTTCTAGAAAAAACTTTTTATGGTACTAAGAATTTATGGAATTAAGCGCAGTACTAGATTGATGACAAAACA